ACTGATGAAGCACCACTGATGGCTGTGGAGCAATACTCAAGCCCAAACTACTGTCTCCTTGAAGCCAGTAGTATGGATGCAGCACCAATAACCAGTTCTTTCTGCCTGCTTATCAACAAGGTTTTAGAGTCATTCTTCTACTACAACAGTCAATAATTTATCCAGTAACCTACTGGATAAAATGTTGACAGCATGACCATTCCTATCCCTTCCAGTTTTAAAAGGAATGACTTCAGAGACTCAAAGAGAGTACTTCAACCTGCACATGCAGACACCTTCCTCCAGAACAGGTGTAGGACATCAGACATAAACCTAATAGAAAATGCTACTAAGAATACACACCACAAGAAAATACACTAACTCCCACTCCTAGGTGTTCAATTCCTCCTTACTAGGAGCACAGAAAACCTCATTTGAAAATTGTACACTGCATCCACAGAAAGCAGCACAAAGCACTTCAGGACAGGGAGCTCCACAATCACCATGTCCTTGTGTAATCCAAGGCTGCATACTACAGCAAACTGTGAAGGAGTAACTGCTCACCTCTGACTTCTTACAGCTTCACCGTGACCTGGATTTGTCTTACACATTTTAAATAAATCTGACACATATCTATTTAATGATTTTTCTCCTTACTGCACAGCCAGTCTGCTGTCATTCCAGCCCAGTGAGTTTGTCACATTAATGCAATAATGCATTGGTTTTGATCATTTTTCTCAAGAAGGCATTTCTGCCACAATAAGCTGCACAATTTAAAACCAACAGAAGTCTCTGGTATGGGATGAGATAGCTGAGTATGATCATTAACTACATAGTTGACAAATACTTATTGCAAAGATTGATGTTAAATCAATGAAACAGGATAAAACAGTACTGCAGATTTCATTGCAAATGTTTAATTGGAAAGAGAAACCAGAGAGGAGGAGCTGATAAAGGAGAAGTAGTATGGAGCACAGTTTAGACAATGCTACATGGAAGAAGCTATAAATAAAACTAAGTACCCTTGCCTCCTTCAGATCACATTTTAACCATTAAGAGAATATAAAACCACCTTGCATCAGTCATTAGAACTCCAAAACAGATTACAACTTTAAATCACAACCTGTATCCATCCTGGTGCTCCTTCTCACTTTGAAAATACAAACACCAATGAGGACAGCAAGTGTTAAAGAGCAGTGCAAAGGCAGCCTGCAGTGTCAGCAGCTGCAGCACAATGCACTGCCTTGGTTCAACATCTGTTTGATCCTCACACAAACATGAAAATCTCAGTTGAGGCTGGCAGACTGAAGCAGACTGTGAACAAGCTCCCTCTGGTCTGTCACACGACCCTCCCATTCTGTTCTGGGCTGCTGGGGGGTTGCAGAAGGTGGCACAGCTGCCTCTCACCCTGTTAACAGCACAAGTTACCACACAACCTTTTAAAACTGCAGTTCTACAAGAAATACCCCTTGGACTCCTCGTGTTCAGGTAGATGAGTTAACAACAGTTTTACCCTCTGTAGAGCTAACCAGGAAAATGTGTCTGTGCCTCTGTCTCTAACCTGCCTTACTGGGCTGGCATTAATTACACTGTCTTTGGGCAAGGCTGCCATTGGTCTGGCACTCTGAGAACAAGACACTTACACCACCCTGGTACTGGGTGGCTGAAGCTTCACAGAGCAGAAGGGTTTCACACTCTCCACCTCCCACACCTGTGAAAAGGCATCTGCACAAAGTGCATTCTCTAAGCAGCAGCAGGAAGAAATCTCACCTCACTTGTTCCTCCCTGTCCACAGCTTGTGAGCAGAGTGCAAGCTGAGAGGCAGGGAAATACAACTGCACTGCTTTGCAGATACAGGTAACACAGATACTTCCTAAGCATTTACTTTCTTAAATGACACAGGAAAAAAAAATAAATTCAAACCAGTCCCCTCCTTGCCTCCCCACAAGAGACCAATTTGACAGAATTACAAAAAAGGCTGAGTGTGAACTCCCAGACTTTCAGTTAACAAGGTATCCCTTTCATAGGAAATCTTTAATAAAATAATAAATCCTCAATCGTATTTACATCAAATATGATAAAAATTAAGCAAAGGTCAGACTACCCTATTTTTGAGTGTAAAGTAATTTCAGTTCCCTTTTTTTAAAAGTTACAAAATTAGTGTCCAAAAAACTGTAAGTGAGATGAAGCACAAATGTTTTATAGTAAAGAAAGAATACTGCATGGTATATTTCTATTTTGCCTATAAAATTTATGCAGCATTATTAACAAGCTCTAAACTGATGTCCACATGATCTGCAGCTGGAAGCACTGGTCAGTAACATTTCAGTGGATAAATGGGGCTTTTCCCTTCAGGATTCAAGAAAGATTTGAGGAAAAGGAAGTGCTTTCCACATGACTTAGTCAGTAGGGACACCCACCCCTTTTGAAAATTAAGAATTATTGAGAAGAACATTCAACTTTTTCCCATCCTTTGTCTGGCTATGGGGTTTTTTTTGTTAAAAGAAAGGATGACCTAGAAAAGTTTCAACTCCTTCCTGAAGTACAGCTGACTAAATCAGTTAGCTATGTAAAATCAAAAACATATTCACAATGCACTAGCAAAAGAATCTCTCTCTTCAGATACCAGTAAGAAACATAAGACTTCACATTCATTCAATACAGCTTCCAAAACCAGATGCACTTCATGTTTTCTTTCTTCACAGAAATTATGCAAGGCATTTTTACTCAAAAAAGCTCCATGACAAGTAAAAGTACAATAAATTCAAGCTATTCTGTATTCAATTGCTCAGTCCCTTTAAATCTCATACTGAAGTCCTGCTTCCTAAAGTAGTGAGGAAAATGAAAGACTGGGTATGTATAAATCTGACTTTCCAAAGAGCAGATAGGCCTTGGAATGAAATGTGGGGGAAAGCAAGAACTGAACAAAAATATCTGGCAAATAATTAGAGGAATCAGAATTGCACTGCACAAATATTTGTAAATAAATGTTTTTCAAATGTTTCTATTCTTATTTTTCAAGCCAGCCTTTGTTTTTTTTTTGCAGAAGCTTTACTCATTCCATGTTTTTCTTCATTTTAACACTTTGAAAAAAATACATTCTCTAACCACATTATGAAACTTAAACCACCTCAGGATTCCACTTTGTTTTGATTATCAGGCAATTTGTTTAAAGCTAACCCAAAGCAATCAATTAAGGTGAGATACCCTTTATGACTAAGCAGAAATCATCTGGCTTTTCTCTCCTCCTTCACTGAGTGTCTGGGCTAAAAGTTATTTGCTGGTATGAACTACACTTCTCTAATTGCCTACCCCCCCTTCTTCAGGGAATTACTAAGCAAACACTTTGTAAACCTTGCACACTATTACAGGAAGACAATACCCAGGTAAGGAACTGCAGGATATGGTAAACCACTCCTTTGTTCACCTTCTGGACCTTTCTGAGATACCTGAGCTCAGCAGCCTCAAAGGTTATTTTTGAAAACACAGTGCTTTGGATTTTCCAGTCTGAAAGCCAGAATTCAAATCAGATTATCTGCATGTGGTGCCTGAATTACTGGGTAGAAAATAGTAAATATGGTTTATTTGCTGTTTGGTAATCTCACTTCAAACAGGATTGCAGCCACTTTTTGCTTGTAGAGAGTTAAACTGGGAGATCTGTACCTTTCCTCCCTCTGAATGTGACAATTCTTTAATAAGCACTTTTTAGAGGACTGCAAGCTTCTTAAAATCCTGCCTGCCTCTTGAAATACCACCTCATTCTCCCTGTTTCTGTAGGCTCTGGTAAAAGGCTCTCAGCCTCAAGTGCTTTGAGGCAGTCTTATTAAAAGACTGGCAGAACCACAAAGACATTCACATGGCAATGGAGAGACCACTTGGATTTCCCAGGTACCAAACCAGCATGCAATTACAGGGAGGAAAATTTACACTCTGGTATGGCAGCTGTTACACTGCACCAGAAATCCTGAGGCACATCCAGTGTTGTGGTGATGAGCATGGAGCTGGATACACCAGTCTTGGCTCCCCCTCTGGAAAGCTCACCTTCCCAACAGGGAATCTTCAGGGAGCCACATGTGCCCATTCACTGTCAGCAAGGAAAATCAAGTGGCAAGGACTGGCTGGTACAAGATTTAGCCTGAAGCATGGCAACTGCTTCCATGCAACCCTGAGGCCAGTATGCTTCTCCTGAGCTGGAAACCTGAACATGGATAGGGTTCTTGTTGCTTAGGCCCAGCAATGCTCCATGAATTCAGGAGCATAATCCCAAAGTCTGGTACTAGAAGATCACCACCTTTTCACTCTGAAGTCATATAGAAACCAAACATATTACCCTGACAAAACCTGCTTCATGATGGAACTATCCTATTATCTATTGTATACTGTGTTTTTCCAGCTTCCCAGATGGAATGGGTTCTTAAACTGTTGCTTCATATCTCTCTGGTCAAAATTATCAGTCTTGACAGTCTCCTGTTTTGTGGCATTAATAGCCTATTTTTGGTTTATAAGTAACACACCACAGAAAGAAACAATATTTGATTTACTGAGATCCAGCCTAGAAAACCAGCCCAAACTTCCAGCATTTTATTGTAGTGGCATCCAAAAAATACCAAAGTGACTGAGGCACCATGGACAATGCAAATCAATTTTAAGTATGACTAGCAAACATATCAGATGCTGGATAAAAATTAACTCCCTAGTAGCAGCACAGAATTTATTGCCTTGTCTTTGGCACCAAAATACTGTTTAAGGGTATTACCATATGATTCATGCCAGGCTAGTAAAATGATGTTAGCTTACAAGCCTGTAAATCAGCAGAGCTACATCAACTTCTTCTGATAGATTCCTTTTTTTTCTCCAAACCTGAAGACATGCCAAAATTAACCTTGTTTGTCTCTTGCCATTTATTTAGCTAGAAAGAAATCTCAGAAGACCACAACTTATTTCACAGTGTTGGGTGTGATTTCCTTTTCCTAGATATGCACGTTATACATGGGCAAATACTGCTTTAAATCATTACTTACAGATTGCCAAGCCAGAGACTCCATAATTCGATGTTCACAGCGTTCTAGGTGCTTTATCATCTCCCTTGTTAGGCTTGGCTCTGCTTTAATAAAGCTTTCAATCACCTTGTAGAAGTCAAAAGCTTTTAAATCAAACACATTGAGAATCCAGGGGAAAGACAAGTCTGTTTCAGCACTGGCACCATCACTTTGTGAAGCATTTCCTGCAGGGAAAAGGAACTGAAGTTATCAAGATTGCTACATTCTTTCACTTCTGATGGGTTTTTTTTCCCTTTTTGTATTTATTGAATCATTGCTAGTTGAGAAATTTCAGTGAGCACTTTTTTTCCCCCCCCAATTTACTGTGTTTTGTGTATTAAAACAAATGGCAATAGTTATCAATAAATAACAATGCTATTTAGGACTTCAGATTCAACTTACTGCCATATGTAGCCATGACAACCTCAAGAGCACATGCCAGAAGAGATGTGTGGAAGATGTTATCGTTCAGAAGTTGGCTAAGGAGAAAGAAAGTTATTAATACTTGTCTTGACCCTAAAAGAGTAGAATTGGATAACAAGTTTGGGGCACACACCTGAAATTCTGCACTGAGAGGCGTTCTTCCTCCTGAAATGCATAAATCAAGGCAAACTGGTGAATATTCTCAGTATCTGTAACTGCAGTCAGCACCAGTCCTCAGCGGCTAAGGAAAAAGAAAGTTATTAATACTTGTTATCCAATTCTACTCTCTTAGGGCTAAGACAAGTTTGGGGCACACACCTGAAATTCTGCACTGAGAGGCGTTCTTCCTCCTGAAATGCATAAATCAAGGCAAACTGGTGAATATTCTCAGTATCTGTAACTGCAGTCAGCACCAGTCCTCAGCTGCCAGCACTCCACTTACCGACTTCAGCATCGACTCCATTACTCTGTAATACAGACGTACTCCCAGCTTGTATCTCTGGTAAAAAAAAGAAGAAATTCAAAAATATTACAAGAAGTTTTAACAGACCACAGCAGACTCTCCTGTTTTAATGATTCAGAACATTTTTGGAAGAGCCACAGCAAAGAAGGCGTTGTCCCCAGCTCCATTTCCAAGAGTACTGGAGAGGTCTCAAAGGCTACAAGGGTTTGTGGCTACCACAGCCACATGAAGAATCAAGTTTACATCTATTCCCAGCTAGCAAGATAGAAACCAGCACTGACAGACTGTCAAGTACAGACTTGGTAGGATTTGCTTTCCAAAATCTTTGTAGAAAGCACAGCTGGCCTACTGATTTTATAAGGAGTCACCTTGTGATGTTTTAGGCTAAGTTACCTTAATGAATGCAAATATATGCTTCACTAAATGTTTATTGCCCAGCAATTTTCCCATTCTTAATGGAAGTATTTACACCTAGTTCCTATTGCTCCTTATAGATTATTCTTAATCTGTCAAATACTCTCTTTACAGAGCTTCAGAAAAAAATCCACATCCTTTCCTCAAGTAGAAAAAGAACACTTACTTTTTACCATTATTGATCTGCACTGAAGGCCAGTCAATAAGTCAGGTCTCATGTTAACTAGTACAAACAGAGTTCAAATGAGTAATCCTCAACCAAAATGCAAGTTACCTGTGAGCCAATTTCAGCACATCCCTGTCCAACTGCTTCAGCAAATTTCTTCTTGAAGATATGTTCAAGATTTTCTACTCTCTTCAGGATACTGTCTGTAGGGTTCACTGTGCAATTCTAACACAGTACAGGAAGGAGGGCAGAAAAAGGAAAGGCAAAGAAAGGACATTTTACTTCAAAACCATTTAACCACATTAGTCCTGCTTCACTTTGTTATCTCTCTCAATCAGCTCATTAGCATAGATAAAAGTGAAGTACTTAAAGACACAATCATTGTATATGTTCAACAGTTTCCAGTAACTATAACTTCATGCTTCACATGCAGCTAGCTGAAACTAACCCAACTAATATGGGAATAATACCACCAACATTGTTTTTGAAGTTAGAAATGTGCTGAAGTTGCTCAGTGTGGAGACAAGAGACCCTCTGTAAGCACATCCTCCTTCCATTCATTGTCTCCCTTTTATATCCCCTTCTTTTTCTTTCTTCTTTTTCTACTTTTGTGCAGTTACAAAAAGATTTAAGAACTTATAAGGTTCCAGTACACATCAGACAGAAGTGTTCTCTAAAATGGTTAATCCATTTAAACCATTCCAATTAAAAAGTACTTCTTCAAAGATGGTTAATAAAGGAGCTCCCAAAATAATGTGCATCAGATCTCTACGTGTACATTTTACTCAAGTGATAATTCCAAGAATCTTTCACAAATCTCTTCTCTAGTCACTTACATTGAAATACTTGATGAGAGTCTCTGATGGTTTATCAGCTGCTGAGTTTAAAATCATTGTCAGTTGCTGAATGTTATTCATTGCAGCTCTGCAAAAACACAATAAAAATCATAATGAGCATTAAGGTTGGCTTGAAATTTTCCAGAAACTGAACAGCAATTCTACAAACACATTTATTTTACTTAACTCAGTTACCAAACAACCTGCTGGGAAAAAAAAACTATTGTACTGTGTTAACTACTGTGGATTTTAATAATCTAATGAATCTAATAATCTAATTATCAGAACGATTACAATCCATAAGTAAACAACCATAATAACGAATTAAGTAATAATACTAACAAGCACTTTTAAAAAGTAATAAAATGGTGGAATAGCAACCCTGGTACATGAAAATAGTCAGTTAAATCAAGCAACTCCCCAAAAAACCAAAATACTTTGTCTTTTGTACAAAACCAATACAGAACACTGGTGAATGAAGACAGCTTTTATGTTTCAAGTTACCTGTTCACAAGTGTAATTCTATCCAGTCTCTATTGTTTTAGAAAAGTTAGTGTAGTAATTTATCTCCTAACACTGAAAAAACAGTTTGATTCTTCCAGTACTGTTTGTATGTTCTGAAATTTTCATTGTGTTTTTTTTTTGATTGGGTATTTTTTTGTTTGTTTGTTTTACATTTCTGTGCTATTTAATGTCAATTTGGCTCATATCACTCAGAAAAGAAGGGGAGAAATAAGAAAAATATGTTCAGTCATTCCAACTGTCGTAGTGGAAAGATGCATTTTTATGTAAATTAGTTTTTGGAAGGTTTTGGTAAAAATCACTTCTACCAAAATTCTACTAGTGGTAAGGAAAAGCATAAGGGCAGTGGAAAAAACTAAAAGGAAAATAATCCTCTGAACTAGTACTTACACCCATTTTATCTAGTTTTCTATGTAAGTAACTGGATACAAATCCTCTGATGAAA